CCCCAAAACCCCAAAACCCCAAAACCCCAAAACCCCACAGATATAGCATTGGGTTGAACACTGTAATAACTCCACTATTACCTCAAGTCTTCCTCCCAAACAACCACATTCTCAAACCCATTCTCCTCCAGCACAGCCCCTACATCCTCACGTCCAATCCCAAGGCCTCCAGCCCTAACAGTCCTCAAACTGGCCCTAAAAGCTATCCACTTAGACAACCCTTTCATAAGCTTAGATAAGTAAGACCAGACATCTCCAGTGAAAGAACAGCCTGATAGGTTTAGCTTCTGTATGCTACAGGAAGAAGGATAGGGTTTGAACGAAGGAGTGCAGGAGAAAGTAAGGGAGCATGATATAAATTCGAGGCAGTCTTTTGACCTGAAACTTTTGAATAGGTGCACGAGGTTTCTTGAGCTGATTTCAAAATTGCACAAACTCATCCTTTGGGTCACGTTAGCTTGTAATCTGAAGAGAGCATCCATGTAGGGAGAAACAGAACTCAATGTATTTGTGGAACTGAGCTTGAAGGTTTGTACCTTATTTGAATAACGCTTTATCAGGAATTCAATAATTGCTGCTTCTTTAGAGGAAGAGGAGAACGATACCTCAATTTTCTTAAGATCAGGAAGTCGCAGTTCAAGTGTTTTTGCAAATTCATAATGCCTTTTATGGTCAAAATCAATATAGAGGTTATTATCTTCAGGTTTAAAATTAATTTCTGTTTTTCCTCCAAAGTACCATGACTTTGCTCTTTCATTAAGATCTTCACAGAACAATGCTAATTGTTCTTTATTGTAATGATTACGGCGAAGCTCAAGGTCTTGTTTGAGAAGCTTGATCTCTTCTTGATCCTCTTCCAAAGCTTTAGAAATTTTCTCAAAGTTTTCAATATTAATCCTATTAAGCTCTTCATTCTCTGCTTGTTCCTTCTTCAAGACCTCCACTATCTCCCTTAACTTCCTACTCCTATCCCTCTCTTCAGCCCACATCCCCCTAATCTTGCCAATTTCCTTTCCTAGAACACATTTTAAACTCCAAATTTCCCCAAAACTCTCCAAAAATGTTACCTTTCTCTTCAGAAATCTTGCGTCTTTGTTCTTGAAGTTTCCTGACTGTTATATTTGGAATAAGCGCTGGTGCTTCTGTTTGAGCTGCTTCATGGCGAGAGTTGAATGGTCAGGTGAGTCTCCGATAGCGATAGAGTAGGCTTCTTGCCAGGTCTTGGAGGCGGAGAATTTTAAGAATAAGGGATTGGTCATGACTAAGGACTTAAGACTATAGGCTTCCTGAAGAAGAGAATGGAATTTATAGAATTGGTCGGATCTGATAGCACAGGTCATGCGAGTGGTGATGCCAGTGAGGGCTTCTTTGATAGTAGAGTCCAAGGCAGTGTATTCAGAAGATGGAGATCAGTGTCCCAGCGTTTCTGTAGAGAGGTTTAGAGAGTTTCTGAATATATACGAAAATCAGCCTTACCAACTTCTTTTTTGTTATTTTCAGTTACATTCTTCTTGGCATCCATAAAATTCTTAGATCCCTTTTCTGAATATGCAGAAAATAGTAAATCTTCTCTTAAAATCTCAATGGCTTTGAGTACCGCTTGTACTGCGTCAGATGTTACCAAAGGGATAAAGTTCTCACTAAGGAATTCTATATAATCCATATCTTTACGTCTTGAGCAGATATACATGTGATTGTGTTGCATGTAAAACTGAGCGGTTTGAAGACACAGCTCATTTGAGCAGATTGGAATATTCATATTTATTTTTATAATATCATTTTTAGGATTTTGATGTGGGGTTTTGGGGTTTTGGGGTTTTGGGG